AGCACCTCTTCAGCCTTTGGCAGAACTTCTGGGTTACTTGGAGACCCATCTGTGTTTTAAGGAATTTATCAATGTAAACATGAAGTTTTCTGAAGAGGGAAAACATAACTGACGTGAATTCTGAGTAGCAAGTAGAGTTTTTAAGAGAGACATCCTGCATTAGGTAAGGTTTACTGATTTCTCCCTGGGCAGGATCTAGGAAATGCAGCTTGAAGCCCTGACAGAGATTTCTAAAACCAACAAACCAAAAAATATCCCACTTCAGAAAAGTGTTGTCTGCTTTAAGATGAATTTCAGTTGAGAAATTGTGTTCTATAGTGTGTTCTTTATAGAAAGTAAACAATGTGAATATATATGTACATTACCGGCACCACTTGCGTCTCTTAGAACACTTCCATCAGCGCTGCCTCCATACAATCCTAAACATCCACTGGACGGATTATGTGACCAACATGTCTGTCCTTGAACAGGCAGCAGTCACGAGCATTGAGGCCATGGTGCTGAGAACACAGCTGCGCTGGGCAGGGCACGTCTCCAGGATGCAGGACTACCGCCTCCCTAAGATCGTGCTCTATGGGGAACTTGCCACTGGCTGCCACAAGAGAGGAGCCCCGAAGAGGAGATACAAGGACTGCCTGAAACAATCCCTCAGCCTTGGCCATATTGATCTTCACCATTGGTCTACCCTGGCCTCCAATCGGGAGGCCTGGAGACACACCATCTATAACGCTGCTGCTGCTTTTGAGAACACACGCAGGATCACTCTTGAGGAGAAAAGACAACGTAGAAAGAATCGCGTTCTGTCGATATCACCTGGGGAGTCTTTCTGCTGTGCCTTCTGCAACCAGACTTGTCTATCTCGCATTGACCTTTTTAGCCATCAGCACGCTTGTAGCAAGCGTGGGTAGAGCCCTTCTCAAATCTTCGTTCGCGAAGCCCAGCCATGATGATGAATACATACAAACATATGATGCCTGGACTGGCAATATTATCCATCTAATGTTCATACATAATCATCCTCATCCTTCCCAGTTCTAGGAATCATACTGTTTATGCAATAATATTCACAGCATGATGAGACCTTCTTTGTAGGAAAATCCATTTAGTTATGTTTTTTACTTTAGAGAAATCTAAAGATCAAGAAACGGTTTTAAATACAGTTTCTAAGAAACACAACTGGATTTACAGTTATCACTAATCTTATAAAGCAAAACTTTATAGTTCAGATGCCACCTGGGAACTATATACAAAGACTGTCCTAAAAGCATGAAAAATACAGATTTGTATAAATGTACCTATGTTTTGTTAAAATATGTTTCACAGTTTTTTATTTTAAATGAAACTAAAAAAATAGAAGACACAAAATCTGGAGGCACTGGAAACACCAGTGCACCAAGGTACAATTAACATTAACAATCCTCAAAAATATAACAGAGAAAGCAGTGTATATCTAAGGAAAGAATGAAATCAATATAGCTACCCACTTGTGCTGTTTAACTGAAAGAAGTACAGAAAATGAATTGTCTAAACATGGATAATCCCTTGTTTGAGATCTGGCAACAAAAGGGAAAAATGCTTATAAAACTGAAGCACAAGTGATACATCATAAGAATGCTTTACAAGTAACTTACCACAGAGTTTAATATGTACACAATCTCTTTAATAAATGGAATTTCCACTGGTTACTTATAGATTTCACTACTGTTATAATCTCATCCAATCTTTCTAAGACTTTCTGCTTATGTAAATAAGGATTAGTTGGCAAAGTTCATTATCATAAAAGAAAAATTACTGTTAAACTTGGGATGAAATTGGTGTCTAGAGAATATCTGTTTGCTGCCTTCTACTTGCAGGTGCTGAGGCAATTTTGATAAGGACTGTGGATATTCTCAAAAGGTCTTTTCTGGAGGTTGCTGCACATGGTAGAGAGACGCAAACTAACTTTGGAAATGTAATGCTGGGTATCAGAGGAGACCTAATTGCAGTAGCATAAAATAATTTACATTTCCAGGGAAAGTGTAATAATCGAACAAAATAAGGTGTCCAGTTCAACACAATTTTCCCATATCACACAGGTTATCTGATCTACTCCATGTGGGCAACTTTGGTTCTCCAGACATTTCCCCCTTAATCATTAAGATTAAGTAACAGGGAACTTGAGAAATGTCCCTATGTGGTTGTCAGGAGGGCATTAAACAAGCCTCTCAGATGTATGTGATTAAAAGAGACACAACTAGACTTTGTGAAAAGCATCTTCTATGAGTCATTAGAAGGATTAGAAATATATTTCAGTTAAAAAAATGTGATTTAGCTGTATTTTAGATGTGAAATCTATTTAAACCTGGTATAATTAAAATAGATTTTTCAAAAATTCTTTGTGGATGTATTTAATTAAAAAATTCTTTGTGAATGTATTTTAAAAATCATGTTTGCAAAGTATATTCGGATCCCAGCAGCTCTGGGATAGACAGAGACTCTATTAGTGAAAAGCTCTTTAGACAGTGATTCAATTTATACAGTAAAAGATAAACCCCTCTTGATGGGTGTGTGGGAATCCATTTCAGTACTGTATTATCCTTGCTACTAGCTTTCCAAAAAGTTAACATGATTCTTCCTCACTATAATTTAAGCTTGTTATTTTTCCTGGTGCCTTCCACTCACATAAAGTGCAAAATGATTCCTTTTCTCATTCCAGAGTCATATACGTACCAAAAGACTGCTACCCTATTCCCAAGACAGTTTTTCTTCTTCAGGTTAAACTTTTAACAGTCGTTTTAATCTTTCCTTATATGATGTGTTCTCGTACTCCAGTTCCCATCACTTCTTCTCTAGACTCTGCTTAGTGGCCCACATCTTTAGGGTAATATGTGGAAAGTCTTGTCAAAAACTAGAAGTGCTTCAGCTGAAACAATGCCAGTTCTAAGTGAAGTGGGAGGATTAAATCGTGCACTGCTTAGACCATCCTCTTACCCTCCAGTTTGCAGGAACTCTTTGGGAGAAGAATTCTCTGGATTCACGCACAGTAAACAGAGTCAAGAATCTCGAATTATGTAATGTCCCTTGAAATGAGAAAGGAATTGTGTCATACTGCCTTAGTACCCTTTTGGTGAATTACTGGATGTGGAGTGCCATCTGGAGGTTAGGAAATATGGAGCTCTGTATGCTTTCAAGCTGAAAAACAAAATCCCTGTGCTTTATAAATGAGATATTCTTACGTGAGTAGGAGCTTGAGCCTGACAGATACTGGACATCCACCACTCAGAGTAGAGTTTGTGACCCACAGAAAGACTTACAGCAGCTCAGTACGTCTCAGAGTAAGGCATGCAAGTGTAATGACTCTCTGTATTATGCAATGTCTAATAAATATGTAACCTGTGAGTGGACAGGGCAGTTTTCCAAGAAGCTCCTGGACAGCACAGGGACAAGGAAAGTCTTGATCTGCTGTCTCCTCTCCTACTTTCAGATGTATGAAAACAAGTGAGTTCCTAGTGCAGTTTTCTGCTCACAGGAGAGAGCAGAAAGCATTTTAGCTGAATGAGAAGATGTCTGTTTTAAAAAGTGCGTTCCTATTTGGTGTGTCTGAACTCAGTTGTCCAATGCAATTCATGTCTGCACAGAGTGAAATCAGTCCTCCTCACTTGGGCTGATTGCATGATGTGGTGTTCCTTTAGGTAACTTACCTGTCATCTCAAAAGCCTTAATCTTCCAGTTCTCACCGTGTTGGGGAAACTAGGAGAAGAACCACTTGGTATCGTGACTTCAGTGAGTGGGATTTGGCTCTACTTTCTACAATGCCTTTTTTTTTTTTTTTGTCCCAGAAACCACTTGGATCTGTGATCACAGTGCTCAGTCACCTTTTTTCATTCTGAGGTGCCTTCTGCCACTGAAGTGGCAGAAATGAAAATCATGAAAACAAAATAGCTTTAATTGCAAGACATAAGTGCACCCATCTCCACCTGGGTCTGGTGAGAGATTGCAGCCTTTTGTGTCAAGGCCATGCTAATGGCTTCTGTGTTCAGCTCCACCTAGAACTGAGCATGATCCTATGGAACCTATGCACAGTTCAAAAGGCAGGTATTGTTTGTACACTCTCAATGCTCTGCTGCTTGCTGATATTTCCTTACAGAACGACAGGTAGTAAGGTTTGAACCTATGTAATAAAGGGGCACTAGTGAACAGGCTTTTGGTATGGTGTCAGTTTAGTTTGATGGTGGTTTCCCTGGGCAACCAAGATTTTAGGGACTATGAACCTGTTAAATTCAAGGTTGTCAGTCCTGAGGGTGTAAGACAGGTTGCTGAGCCAACACACCTTCAGAGCAAAATGTGAAAGCCTGCTTCCTTGTCAATGAGTCTTTATCAGCTAAACCAGAGAAGAGTAAGAGAAGGGAATTTGGGAGCAGCAAATCTAAGGAAACAAAAATGAAAACTAGTGTGAAAAACATTTGGTCTCCCTCCCTCACCAGGGAGAGGTGAAAAGCACAGAACATATCTCATGTGCCTTAAACATTATTCTTTAGAGCAGGTTTGAACATGCAGATGACAGAAGCTGATGAATCTTTGGCTAATTACATGAAATGCAACAAGCTGCTGCATTTTTATTGTACTGGCTTTCAGAACCAAAAGTATGTTGTTTATGTTGGGACTCATTTGAGCAGGTCTCCATTAATTGGAGATAAAAATTCAGGAAGAAATTGCCTCTTGTCTGTAATCTTGTTCTTTCTGATAATAGTGTCATCCTTATTATAGATTTGCATGGGAAGACGGGTGAGATTTGTAGTGCTGTCTGTATATGGCCCAATCACCCCACATACAAAGAGGATCATCTCCTACAGCATTACTGGACAACATACATTTTTGCCCTTGAAAGAAAATCCATGCTAGACAGTAGTATTGGTCTCTGTAGAAAAGATGGAGGACTTTTTTCATGCTGTGGCTAAAACCATTCAACTTGGCTAGAACCATTTAACTTGCTTTGTTACTGTTTTATTGTTACTGAAACACTAGGAAAGTTTGAGCTCACCCTCAAGTTTCTCCTTTCGTGCTCCACTGCCGAAGAAATAATCCATATACCAGAGCCCTGTCAAGCTCAGCATTCATTTGACTGATGATTGTTTGGTTGGTCACGGTGGGAACTTTGCTTGCAAACACAGGCATATAGTTTGGCAGTGGCTTCATCTCCTTTCTCTTACCCTGGATAAAACAAAGGCCATTAGTAAGTTTTCAAAATTACATCCATTGCTTCTTACAAAAATACAAGTTCCTGAAATTATTTGTAATATGAGCACTTTTACTTATAATACCAACCGCTTTTGTTTTTGAAATTGCAATTTAAATTTACTTAAAGACATCATATTGAGTGTACATGAATCTTGTAGAAATAAAGTAAAACAATTGTTTGTTTTTGCTGTCTTATGATAGGATAACAGAGGGAAATGAGTAGTTTTAAAATATATTGCATAAAATGTCATCTGGGACAAAAGTTAGCCTGCTCCAGAATGGTTATGACGTGGGAGGTTTTTTCTTTCATTTTTACTGATGACATTATATTACAAATTTTCTCCTAGGAAGTTGGCTTTTCTAGCACTTGTCTTTCTGCCGAGTTTTTAACGTTGAAACAGATTGAACACGCATAGGTAGGAGATGAAAGGCACTTCAGTTCTCTTTTATTTTTCCTAAAGAGCTTATTCATAAAGCATTTTCCAAGTATGCCTAAGTAAGCTTCAGTTTGAAATATTAGCCTAGGCCCAAACTGATGAAAACTAAAGAGAGCATGGATACAGCTAAATGTCCATTTCCAAACTCACTGTTTGGTCGTAGTACTTAAGGAAACTCCAGTTCTGGTACCTTGGAATAGAAGTGAAAAATGCAGTCAAATTTTCTGTCTTTAAATAAAATAGTTAATATCAGTCATAATTGAATGCCTGTTTAACTGCTCAGTGTGATACTTATAGCCCAGCTCTTAGACCTGCAAACTCCTTATACTAAAACCTGTCTATTCTGTGATGGAGCCCAAGGTTTTCTTTATTCTCACACTACATGAGAAGTGGGTGGTTTTTTTGCTAAGGGAAAATGAGGATACCACGTCCACAATGTATTCCTTGTGCAAATGCAAATAAATTACCCACATCCTCAGTCACTCTGGAAAACATTTGTCCAATGCCTCGAGCAAGACACAGCTTCTTATTTTTTAAATGACCGATACTTTGCTGCCAGAAGTCCCCTGGTAGGAATTCCCAGAGCCATATTGCTGCAGGCAAACACCCATGGGAGTATTTTGTACAGATAGGCAGCTGTGCTAGGAGCAAACGGAGTCCGAAGTCCTGAGTTTTGCTCTTCAGCTCTGTTCTATACCTGGTGTGGGACTACAGGGCAAGTGCTTTGATTTTCTGTCCTTTGTTTTCCCTGGCCTGAAATGGAGAAAGCAGCCATTCACCTGCTATTGTAAGAGTACTTTGAAGTCAAGAGTGGAAACAGTTCTGTACAGCACTATTTGCAGCAGGGCTCAAGGGACACTTGTGCTGTCTCTGAGCTGGTTACCTGTGCTTCACTGAGCTAGTGCTGAAGGTGTACACCCTTTCTAGTTGAACTCATATATGCAGCACAGCTATGTGGAGCACTGGATTTCTGTGCTGCACTCCCTCACCCAGTGCAGATATGCCCCAAGTGCAAGTAAGAACTAATTTGTAATTGCTCTGTTTATCACTATATGTCTTGGTGTATCACCACAGCATTGAGGTCCTAGAATTTTTTATCTTGCTATGCAACCATGATTTGAATGTATCAGATTTGGGTATTACTGAATGGTGCTAATTAGTGAGAAATGCCATAGTCTTAGACATTTACCTATATCTACTTTGAGTCAGACCACTTAACATGTAGCAACCTTCCCCCGTCATTGTTTTTGGGATGGGAATGTGGAACCAAAGGACAACTGCCTGCAGACTGTAGGGTCTGTAGTTTGATGAATCCAGCTTTAGGCACCTTGTTCTTCAAAAATCTGTCCTACCCTTTGCAAGAGTTTCTGTCTTCATAGCTAAAACTGGAAAGCAGAATATGCATCAGCTGTATGATGTGTTACCTTACTTATTCAGGAAGGTGAGTTTGTACAGATATCCATGACCATGAACCCCAGGGACAGGCACAGATTCCCTCCTGCTACCTTAGCTAAGGAATGAGTATGGAACATGCTGGCCTTGTTAAGCAGGAGTCTGAGTCTCCCAGCACAACTGGAAGAGAATAACATTGGCACCATGACCCTGGCTTTGCATGAGTCAGAGTCCTGGCATCAGCCTGTCCCTCACATAAATGGAGCCAGACCAGAGTGTAAATGTGTCTGGGGAAATCAGAGCTGTGATCTGTATCTCCTCCAGAAGGCTGAGGAGGGCAAAGGTTTCCAGATGGTTTCTTTTCCCATTTTAAAAAACACTGAGAGTGATGTTCTTTTTCATCCCTTTAGCTTGGGTAGTGCACAGTTGGAAATGGAGCTGATTTTAATGTTGCCAAGGATATTCTTCTAAGAGGAGTACTCATGCTGTGCAATGAAGTATGAACTTAAACACTTAAGATACGTGGCAGAGACAGAGAGGATCTTAATTTCGTGTTCCTTCGTGTCACTGGTGTATGTACAGTCAAGGCTTGGGTTGTATGTGTGCAGCTCAGTCTGCTGGAAGACTACAACAATGGGGCAAGTTCAGTAGATTCACACATTGGGAATACAAATCATATTTTGGCAGAACAGTCTGTTCAGCTTCCATTTTAGCCATTTCCGAGAGTATGAGAAGAGGTGATAATACCAGTATGTCTGCAATAAATTATAAAGCTTGGCACTTTTATATCATCTTTGTGGGAATCTCTATGAAGCTAAAAGATACTTAGCATGCAGTTCTTTGCATCTCTTTTCAGCTTAAGATCAGCATGCCAGGAGATATTAGCACAGATTTTGTCCAGTGAAAGAAAACAGAGATAGTGTATCTCTAGAAAGGAAGGTATTAGGATCTGATCCAAAGTCCCTGCAGAAGAAAATTTCATTTGATAGTGTTGGCTTTGGATCAAGCCCTAATGCTGTCACGGCGCATCTGTACTATTGTCGAGTAGAAGAGGCATGAACTGGAACAACTGATTTACCAGATTTGCCTTCCTCTCTGCTCAGCCTCAACACATTCTCTCCAGATCTTATCCTGTTGGACCTGGTCTGGCTGCAGTGCTGCCTGCTCATCTGCCCAGGCCTGAGTAGCCGGTTGTGTGGTGGCAGGTCTGTTTGGTTGGGTGCTGCTGAGACACAGATGGAGCTGGGGCTGGTTGCCCCAGGGGTGTGGTTGCTGGTTGCCAAGACCTAACTAAGGTATTTCTCCTGAATCCAGAACCCTTTCCCAACTTGTTCATTTTGAGACTTACCATCTACCCAGCACTGTTTGGTATATTGTGACTGTTCAGGAAGTTAAACCTGCTCTTATTTGCACTTTCAAAGCTCCTTCTCTCCTAATGTTTTCTTTCAGCTGCTGCTTTGGAGTGCTTTCAGAAAACGAATGTGCACAGCAGCACTGACAGGCAGTGCTCGGAACTGGTTTACTTCCCTCTTATTTAATGCTTCTTTCCTACTGCTTTATGTTGCATCATCGCTTGAACACTGAGGGGGTTTTCATGGTAACAGCAATTTTGTAAGAAACGACTGTTATTGGAAGCTGTGGGATCTCCAGCTGTAACCAGCAAACTCTCAACTTACAAGGTGATTACTGCTACTGAAGCTGAGATCAGCCTCTATTCAAAATCCTCAGAACAATAAAGTCTGGTTTAGCAGCAAAGAGTGCAGAAGAGATTGCTGCTGAGTATGTCAGGAAGACTTTTGTTGTGGTTATGTAGCAGAGGCAAAAGCTTCTGGAAACTGCTGGTTTCCCTGGCATGTTTACTGTCTCTATTGGAGACAAGTCTGACTTGTGAATATACATCAGAAAAGGAGCAGAAACCCAGTGGGACAGCTGCTGGGGCCTTGAACTCTATTTGAGGCAGAGCTATTTGTTTAAAATAAAGTGTTTCAACAAGTCTGCGCTGAAAGCTCCTTATTTTCGAATTAAAAAAAAGAGCAGTCAGAGATCATCCCTTTTTAAGCACTTGTATATTTCAGCTGAAAGTATTAAGGAATTATGAGAAGCAATTTTTAAGTAATTTTAAAGGGTCATTAGTATACAAAGTGAGAATTTTCAAAAGAGTATCCAAAATGTTAGTGTTTGTCTTTACAGTCAGCCTGTTGGGCTTTTGTGGCATGAACTCACTTCCTCAAGTATTTGTGACCTTGCAGGAAAATAGTGTTTTAAGTATAAATTTCCTCTGAAATTCTTGACTGACTTGTTTTTGAGTAGTGTGGCTTAGCTCCAGATGAGTTCTAGTCTCTTGCTTCATCTTCCTGGTAAATGCTAATGAACTTTGAATCTATTTCTTTAGGGTTTTTTTGGCAAACTTGCTTGCAGTGTTGGGAAACACATACTGGATTTAGCAAATAATTTCTTTAAAAATAGTTACATCTATACAACAATCCAAGAACTTCATGTAGGCATGTTTGAGCAAGAAATACTTCTATATTTGGAAAAATTATTTGCAATTTGAAGATTATGATAACATAACATAAGAAGACGTAAACTCCACCACAAACCCCAATGTTTACTTTGGGTTTGAATTAAATTTTAGTGGAGTTTTTGTTTGTTTGCTGTTTTTGTCTGAGATAATTGAAACCTCAATAGTGTTTTTCATCTCTTTCAGCCAAAAAGCAAAAAGTCATGTACCCACATATCATTATCATGAACTGAAGGAATTGTGTTTTCCAGCCTGGCCTAATAGTTGCCTCTGTTCCTCTTGTGGAATCTGCTTATCCTGCTGCATTTTTTCCGGGGTCCTCTCCAAGTTGGAGTGTGTGCAGCTGGTTGGAGAATAGTGTTTTAGCAGCATGTGATTGCTTTAAAAGGAAGCTGAGGTACATTTGGAAGACCTGATGTGTTAATCAGTGTGCATGGGGTTTTATCTCCTGATAAAATGGGATCAGGGTCAGGAAAAGATCCTGATGGAAAGTCTGTTTCTGTGCATGGAATGCTCTTTAATTATTCTGTGCAAAGTTCCTGTGTTATTTTAATTCTGATCCTTCCTTGAAGTCAATTTCTGCAAATTAATCAGCAATAAGCTAAAAATGGTTATTGAGCTGCGTACAGCCTCCAAATGTAGCCACTGAATGAACTAGATGGAAAGACTGCGAGCAGGTGTTTAAGGTCTGTGCCACTGAGTGGTGTCTGCAAAGCTGCAGGAGTTGGTTTTGATGCAGATGTGGGACTGCAAATTTCTTCTCAGAACATCTTACTGAAAGTGAACCCACAGGTTAAAACCAGATGATTGACACTAGTCCCCACAACCTCAGAAAAGAAGGAACTTTTAACTCTTCAGGACTCCTTTAGGCTTTAAACAAAAGTGAGCTGTAATGATTCTATATGCAGATATTGAGCACATCAAGCCATATCTCTGGAAATAATAGATGGGATGGGATTGTGGCTGTTTAAATAAACTAGACTTTCAAAAATATTGTAAAAATATGACTTTAAAATGTAGCTGCTGTTACAGAAACAGATCACTAATAGCTGATATTTTGAAAATAATCCCATATTCTGTTGGGACCAGAAGTCGTTAAGGCAGTAGTTGTGCACCATCAAAGTACATCAAGGTGAGTGCAAGGATGGCATTTCTGGGTGTTACTCTAGATTCCTTATTGTACATACTAGTATCCCATTTAGGCCATTTACTAGATTAACATTCAGCAGATACTGAACTGTTTACCCTCTTTTTACAATCTGCCAGTTTAGCATTTTATGTGTTCATTTGCATTGGTACAACTGATTTATTGTGAACTTCTTTTCATCCTGTAGTACAGTAGGATGATATTTATTGTGGTCTCATGCCATATGTATCTATGTAAATTGATTATAGCATCTTGATTTCTTTCTGGTTGGGGACATGAAACTTGAAAAGAGTTATGAGTGTCACTGTTGAAGATGGTGCCTTTGCTTAGAAATTTGTTTTGTATTCATTAATTTGACAAGCAGTGTCAGTGCCCATCATTCTGAGGAAGAACTTGACTAGAGGTTAGTCTTTTGGTTTTGCCAGACACATGATGATATGCACTACAAATTCTTCTGTGAAAAATATGAGTTATTTCCTTTGAGTCAAAAGAAAAGATGTCTAGAGGAGCTTTTTGTGGAGGAAAAAGTTCAGGTGTTTAGACAAAACGTTTTTATTTGACCACAAGAGGGTATTGCAGTATCAGTTATGCAGGACTTGAGCTAATGTTTGCCTCTATGTGCACTTCTTTACTTTTAAACTACGTATTTCTAAAAATTGATCATTTTCATTAGGCAGTAGTTAAGCATGTAAGGTTTTATATGCCAGTATTTGATGTCCTTGTCCAAAGGCAACTTCTGAGCTGGTTTTTCCTAAAATGTGTAGTAATGAGTTTCTTGAAGCTCAAGAAGTTCTCACAGATTTTGTTGGAAGACAGAGACTTAGGTGATTATTCTGAAACACTGAAAAACTTCATGGAAATAGCTTGGTTAAATGCAAGAATATATTAGCCACAGAAGGGAAGTAATAACAAGAGATAAATGTGTTGCTGCTTTGGTTTTAAGTATCTGTTGGTCCAGGATGGGAGCTGTCGAAGTCAGTGAGACTCTGATCTGATTTTTATATGTGGTCCTACTTGCAGGAATAAGTCTGAAATCTTTTTTTATTAAAAACTGTTTCCCAGTTTTCTCTCTTACATCTGATTCTTCTTCAGTATACACCCAGTATTGGTTTGCACTTTTTTAATAAGCCAGTACTGTGTTGGGATACTTTCCTACAAAAGTTGTGTATTCTAAACTCTAAGGACTGTGTTGCCAAATGCTATGTTTTGTACAGTTCAGACCATGGAAGAGGGACCTAGAAGGACTTTTGGATTCACCTGCTCCTGCATCTACTGCTGAATTTAGGAGAAGGTGCATGGTATGCCTACCTGTCTCTCAACAAGCTTACCTGTAAAAGAAAAAGAACAGCCATATCACATTATCTGCAAAGAACAAATTTCTCAGGGTTGTGATAGTGATTTGATAGACAACAAGGCAAATTTACATATAAGAAAGTTTTGAGATTTTGCAGAGATTTAAGAAACACACATTTAAAAACCTGTGTGCAATGCATATATCATGTGTAAATAAGAGGCAGGAGCAAAAGCTGGAGGAGAGGGCAGCTGTCTGGAGATCAGCTTTTCAGAGCAGGTCACAATTCGGAAGATCTCTGTCACTTCACGAATGAGAGGGAGACCCCCATGGAAATCTTTCAGTACAAGCAGTGTTTCCTGCCTGCCTCAAATAGTGACATTTGACTTGTTATCATAATCTTCCTCAAATAAATAAAGATCAGTCAGGTCAGTCAAGGTTTCAGGCTGGAAGATGTCGATGGGGAGCAGAGCAGGGTGTTGCATGGTCGGTCAGAGGACACAGCACCCAGCAGAGAAGTGAGGTAGGGTATTAGCCCTGGGCATTAACCACCAAGGGCCCTGGAAAGCCCAGAGGTGACAGGTCCTGCTGACAAGCCATGTGGTGGTCTGGCAGGAGCGGAGGAGCAGAGTGGGTCACTGTATGCAGCCAAAATAAAAACAAATCCAGCCAACTACCAGTTTGGAGTCAAAGTCCTTTTAAGCAGTTATGTAGCTGATTAATTAAAGGAATCATGTAAAGTTTTTCCTGTATCTTTCTTAAAAAATATAAACTTACTTCTTGTCTTAATGGGGTTCTGCTGAGAGACCCTGGCAAGTTGAGAGGCTCTGGCAAGTTAAGTGTCTGTTGCATCACAGCGTACAAATACCACAGAGGGAATGTCTGCTTCCAGTGACACAGAGTCTGACACTTCAAAATAAAACCAAAGCTGTAGTACAGACTGTAAGAAATCTGCTGTGATTTTTTCATACTCTTATAAATGTTGCAAAATATGTTAGCTACTGACATGCAGTTTATTTGAAGCAAAAATTATTTATTTGAAAAAGAATTATTCACTTGAAAAAATATTAAACATCAGCTATTCCATAGAGTAGGTAGGCCTGTTACATTAGAGTCTTCTCCTTAAACCTGCCAGCTGAGCAAGGTGATGGGATTTCAGGGAGGGAGTGCTGCAAGGCTGGTGTGTGAGTAGGGATGTTTGGAAGTATCTGGTTTGAGGAGAACTACAAATGTATGAAGTATTCTGAGCTGGCTGGGGAATGTTTTCAGTCTTAGAGGCTGGATCTGTCAAGAAGTGTGATATAGCATCAACAAGCAAAGTTCTCTTTGTTAGTCAGAGTTGCTCTCAAGTCACATCCTCACCACAGCAGGGAGCTCTGGTAACTGCACAGTGGAGCTTGGCTGTATTCTGTTCAGCCTCACTGTTTGCTCAGAGTTCATTAACAGGTCTAAGAGAATTCCAGTGTATAAAGTGGTTAAGTACTTCTGCAAAAAGGCCCTGCTTTATACTGCCTAAGTACCTAAGGCTGCAGTTT